AGATTTCCAGTTTCTTCTCTTTGTTTGCGATTAAATCTAGGTTAGGTTGTGAGTGCTCGATCTCATATACTGTGACATGTCCGCTCAAAGCTAGAATTATAGTGTCAGAGAAGACGTCCATTGCTAGGCACTGACTCTATAAACATGTTTCCACGACAACCAAATCATATTACGGTCACATCTGATACACAAGCAAGAATGTAGGAACGGTTGGAGGTGTTCTCCGTTAGGTCCTTGCAGAGGCTATTTAAGGACAACCAATTGTGCCTTTAAGTCAGATGAGGCAGTCGAGTTCTGAGTCAGAAATGAGTGGTAGCCAGTGGTGACCAGATGGCTGTTGTGAGTCAGCGGCCAGGAATTACTACCATGAGGAGCTATGAGACTTCTAATCGGCGTTGAACCGTTACAAGCAGTCTCTTCGCTTGCAGATTTCTTATTTTTCCTTCTACCCTGAAGATGGAGGTGATACTTTCGTCCTAATCGTCGGTTAACACAATATCTACACGGTGCCACATCCCATAAGACTGCTTTCTTCATGAATTAAGATGTTTGTAAGAAGCCACAGATAATTAATATTGCAATTAGTGAGAACATATTAATGGAGTGGAATTAAGTCTTGTCCCAAATAAGTTGGGAATTAAGTCCTGTGGTGCAATACGAAAGGCAGAAGACCTGTAAGTGGATGAGTTGGAACAAATGCAATTTTAAACGGAGAAGACAATTCGGCCTAATCCTTTAAACTGTTGTGGATGATCATCATGAATATGAGTAACTCCTTGAGAAGATAAGATTCGTTATCTATTCAAGGATTTAGATAATTCCAAAGAATCCGTCAAAGTTCGAGGCCTTGCCTAACATTTGGTAACATTCTCTACTCTTTATATTGAGTTGTTGTTAGTTCACTGTAAAGCTACGGAGCTGGGGGCCCAGCCTTGTCGCTTAGGGGACTCTTTGTTCATTGTATTGGTAGCTAACACCTGTACCGGGATCTCACTTCCGCCATCTGAAGCTGGAGGCCGCGAGCAGCTACAAGGGACGAACTTAACGTGGGATGGTAATGGTTCACTACAGCAATCTGTTTATGCAAGGTCGTAAGGAAATGGCTGTATATCAGCATGGGTCGTTTGAACCGAGTTTTATAGCACCGTAAAGGATAATGAGTCCATGCATTTCCATATTGTGAAGTCATCGCTAAGTCCTATGAAGTGACGGTGGCTAAATGACGAAAGAGAGAAGTATGAAAGACCAAGCAAATTGTTTCAAACGGTGACGCGTCCGAATTGTATTCATGAGGTGACTAGGTTGAATCTTGCCCAAATCTTGTCTTGCTAGACAAATGCGCTATAATACCGTAAAGTGAACCAAAACCACATAATTTTATATAATCTCATATTAATTATTTATCGTCTTGGAATAATTCCACGCTCTCTATTCTGAGCTGTTGAGAGCGTCATTAAATAAACAGCGAATAACACACACACATAGATGCTATTCGAGAAGGTCATTCGAGTTGGATTCATAGTGGACGTGGAGTTGAGTTGAGTTCGATTCGGAGTTAGTGTGCTGTTGTATACGTCAGAGCGGATTGGATTCGATGCGGAATCGGGATCGAGTGGTGGATTCGAGATTGTCTGTTTGACAGGACAGGACTGATTCACGCTCAAGGAGAGTATTAAGGAGTTATATTGCTGGTAGCTCTGAAATTTTCGATCCTTTGTTGTTAAAATTATCAGATTTTGGTTGAGGCCTGTGTCGTGTCGTGCCGTGCCGTGCCAGACATGGCGGGCGCCTCGGTGCCTGGCTACCATGCATTCTGGACAGAGAAAAGAGCCTCACTACAGGCAGAGTACAAGGAAAACGTAAAGCAATATCCTGCAGCAGATGAACACTACAGGAGACTGTTTAAAATCATCTGTGATATTGAGGATGTGGCCAGCTTCACACCAG